GTCGCTCCACTCAGAAAATCGAAAATATCCATCGACTTGATATGCAACAACACTTCAAGTAGTTCACAGGGTAATTAGTAATTACTAATTGTTGTATCAGTTATCATAAAAGATAAAAACAATTAAAAAAGTCCTCCGGTCGCCAAACTCGAGGTCCTCCGCGCGGCATTATAGTAGTGTTGCGCGCACGCGTATAAACGTAAAATCGTTAACTTTGGGAAGCTATAACTTCCAAAATAATCATTTCCGCAATTTTATTTTTGCACCATCGTTCTTAACTCGTCAAAACAACCCTTTTCAAAAAAAAAAATTTCAAAAAAAAAAGGTGCCCGGTAAACTAGACTTATACCATAGAAAGTAAAACATTTCTCATATTACAATAAAGTGTTTCGTATAACAATCTTCCACCAATTATAAATAAGCGAGCTAATCCATGAAACACTGAGATAATTTTTAGACATTTATTTTATTTTGATTCTTTGATGTTAAAATATAAAAATAAGTCACAAGTTAACTTTTAAAATAATTAGGTATATTAATATTTAATTCTAACCCTTGAAAAGATAAATAGGCACCTCCTTAATACATAAATCTAATTAATTATCTATTAAAACATATTTAAAACAAGTATCTTTTAGATTCTGAGCTGAGTTATTTTACAATGATGTGTTTTTTTTTAATTTTTATGAATAGTAAAATTAACATATTATGTTGGCGTACTTTCAATTTAATAAGAAAATTTTATTTATTTTTATTCTAATATTAAGCTTAGCTATTTGACTAAAATAACAAAAAAAAACCTGATTAACAATATGTAGGTATATGAAAAATTTAATAACGGTTTTTTGGGAATGAGAAAACAAGTTCTGATTTTGAATAATATGAACACCTAAATAAATTATGACACATTAATAAATAGGTACTTCTTCACTAGTAGGTAATTCAGTTATATTTTATTTAGCATAAAATGTATGTAGCAGTAAATAAATCATCCTCAGTTTCTATGGCTAATAATTACTTAATAAATATAAATAAACTTTTGAATTAAATAATTTTAGATAATTTACCTGTGAAAGAGGTACAACCATAAAAGAGCCTCCATCTTATCCTCGATCTTATCCATCTAAATAAACAGTGCAGGCCATTTTGAATTTACTACACAAACCGCGGCACACTATCCATGTTTGGGTACTCTAATATTCTCATAGCACTCATGTTCTAGTATTTTGCCACTAATATTACAAACATATTGCTACTTCTTTCTCCAAATAACATCTGTAAATAAACTAAGATTATTAAAAATTAAATTTTCATTTGTATTATTCATTTTTTGGCTCATAGTAATTACATTATTCAAACTATTATAAATATATTATGCACTACATTTATTTAGGTTATTACTAGGTATAAAATTTATTTTATGTTATGATTGAATTATATTATGTTTAATGCTTCTATTAGATAGGTACCTACTGCTAATAAATAAATAAATAATAATCATTATAAGATGATTTCTATAACATTGTAAAGCATAGTTGGGACATACTTATAATTTATTTATAGCGAACATCTTATCTTAATTTGTTACCTTTTGAATCCTATATTATTAAATAATTATTGAACTGTAATAGTTATCAGCTGAAAGTTCTAAAAAAAAAAAAAAAAAAATTATAGCAAACATTAGTGTTGTGTAAAAAAAAAAAAAAAAAAAATGAAAATTATACTTATTGTTAAATAAATAATGCAATATACAATAAGTAATTAAGAATAAAAATTAAGAATACAAAAAAAGACAAATTATAATGTGGTTCCTATGCTATAACTTATAATTAATCGAGGGGTAAACCACTATAAAAAATTATGTACACTAGATTACTGATTATCATGATTATCAAGATTATCGAATGATTATCAAGATTATCGAATGATTATCAAGATTATCGAATGATTATCAAGATTATCGAATGATTATCAAGATTATCGAATGATTATCAAGATTATCGAATGATTAGCATGATTATCAAAGATTTATAGAAGATTAACATTAGTCATTAAAGATTATCTTAAACATAATTAGACAACTATATTCTCGACTATATTAGATTACATGGGGGGAAGGGGGGAGTTAACAACTATGTGAGCTCCAACTTAGACTATTGTGGTTCTCAATCCGTGTGTCACGATTTACCATAACGTGTCCCCAAAATTGTACCAAATTGTATATTTTTATTGTACGTGTTCAAAGTACCTACCTATAAATATATGATATTATGACGTTATGATGTGATGGTAAAAACAACAGAAAAGAAAAAATAATCGTGAAGATGGTCTCATTCTGAATTTACATTAAGGCTTTTAAGTTTTGCTTTTTAAAAAATTTAAGTGTGACGCTATTTTTATAATCTAAGTTCGGGTTTTGTAAAAAAAAAGCTGGAGAAGCACTGGTCTATAACATATGCACTCGAATATGCAATAGTTTCCTTCAAGGTTTCTTTATGGTGTATGGATCTAGTACAGTACATTTATTTGAAACATTTATTTATGTGCTTAATATTTTAACATATTATTCAAAGTGACTCCAGTCAGATTTGTCAAAAGTCAAAACTAATGAAGATTTGACATATCTAAACATAAACCTCGATAAACTTTGAGATAAACTTCATTAATTTTAATATTTTTAAATAATATTTAATATATAACTTGTATATAACATTTAAATTCCTTATCATAAAATAAATCTTAAGGTGCAGTCGATGAAAAGAATTGGTTTTTAGACCAAAAAAGCCAGACAAAACCGAGGACAAAACTGAAGGAATTTGGTTTGACGAATTTCAATTTTTAAAAGTGATTTTCATTGATTATCAAGTTAACTAAGTTTCCATCAAGGTGATTTTGAATATCTACTTTTTCAGCTGTCATATCCATGAATAAAAATATAATATTTTTGTATTTATATTAACTCATTAGTACGCATCATGACACTAACAATATTTGGAATATTAAAAATAGAATTGATTGTAACCTAGTAAACTTGTTAATCAATTATGACCAGTTTTCAAAATTAAAATCCCTCACACCAAATCCCTTCAGTTTTATCTGTCTTTTTGGTCTAAAAGTCACTTTTTTATATTGATCAGAACCCCCTTAATAAAAAAAAACAATCTTATATTTCTTTACTTGCCATTTTATTATTTCTCATTCTTAAAAATATGTAGGTACCTACATTACTAAATATATATTATTTTTTTTACTCTTTGACAACTAAATAATTTTGATTTTTAATAATAAATAAGTAAAAAAAAAAATCAAAACTATATCCTCTATTTCACTTTAGAAGTAACCTTGGCTGAGATCAGTATTATACCTACTTTACCATTTTACTTTACTTCAGTCACTATTAGATACTTCATAATTCATATTGAAAAAGGCAGGAATAAAGTATAAGAAATAGAGCTACCCAATAGGAAACATAAACATTTCATGAAATTAATATAAACAATTTTATTTTAACATGATTAATGATAATACTAGGTTAGGTAATGCAAATTATTCAAATAAATTAAAATCCAAACATAACTTTATATAATATATAATTTTGTAACAAATCAAACATAAAAACATAACTGTTTACCAACTAATAAAATAAAAAACAAAATTATAAAATGAAATAATTAAAAACATAATAACTAGGTACATAAGAAAAAAATTTAAAACATAAAAACATAACTTTTTATCATCAACTAATAAAATAAAAAACAAAATTATAAAATAAAATAATTAAAATATATAATAATTAAATAAGAAAAAAATTTAAAACATAAAAACATAACTTTTTATCATCAACTAATAAAATAAAAAACAAAATTATAAAATAAAATAATTAAAATATATAATAATTAAATAAGAAAAAAATTTAAAACATAAAAACTATTTTTCTTTGACATCAACGTTTCTTGAAAATTCATAGATAAATTTCCTGTGAGACTGGATTAAAATTGGTTGTGGAAGGATGGCCAATACCATTTCAATATTTATCATTGATATATCGTTGTCTTTTATTGAAAATTGTGTACCTTTTTCATTATACTTACGTAGGCCTTGTACCTGGAATATTGTTTCCAGGGTATCCTCACTCTGTGTATATGCCAATTGATGTACACAACAAACATAAATAAATTTATTTTCAATTACATTTTTGTTATGGTCGCTCCCAATAAATTGAACCAACAAATAATCACCAACTTTAATTTTATTTAGTTGAGGAGTTGTTGATTGTGCTTTTGTGGCATTACCGTTATCATTATCGGTATCTTGCTCGGTATATTGTAAATTATTATCTAATGATTTATCATTGTCACATAGTGTAGTAAGATTGTCATCAATATCAGAATTCTCTGGAGTACTTTCTTCCGAGGACAAATTTGGTTTTTTTTTTTTAACAATCTTCCCAATTTCTCTTGCATTGCATTCATTTTTTCCCCTATTTTTTCTTTTAGTGTTTGGTTTTTGCGATGTGTTATTTACAAACCTTCGAAGTCGATCATTACTGACTCTTCGAGTTTTGTTATCAAATAACCAACAAAGACTGGATTTTTTTATCGTCAAACTTTTATTATTATTTAATGTTATTTGAATGAGATCAGGTTTAAGATTAGGGTTATTTTGATCAGAGGTTTTAGCTAGATTGTTATCAATTGAGTTTATAAAATTTTTACAGTTTGAGAAATTTTTGAGAAGTAGATCATTGCCAAAATTTCCAAATTCTGATATATTACATAAATCTTTGCATACGTCATCTGATATGTTTTCTATTGGTGAACTGTCTGTAGTTGGTGTAGGTATTGGTGAATTGTCAGTTTCTTGGCTATTGTAATTATAGTTGTCTATTTGAATGTCTGTATCAATTTTTTCATAGTTCGTTAAATATTCTGGTTTTTCAGATGAGTTTTCATACATTATAATTCCTAAAAAAAAAAAAAAAAACAGGTTTTATTATTTAGTTAATTTGACATTAAACTATTTTTAATTAAAAAATTACCCAAGTCTGTAGCTGCAAGTTTAGCATCATTTAATGATGCAGCAAGTATATCTTCTATTTTTTTATCACATATTGTTTCAAATATTACAGTTGATTGAAGTTTAGTATTGTTTATAAAATGTCTGGTGTGTTTCTGGTAGCGAGGAAAATTGTATGAACTTTGAGATGGATTCAGTAAATTTGGTAGATCATCTGAATGAGAAGGATTTGGGCTCTGAAGTATATTTTGGTGGTTTTCGTGAAGATCGTTTTGTATCATATTCAATAATTCTATTCGCGTTAATCGTTGTAAAATGTCTTTCATGGTAAAGTTAACCACTGTTGAAAAGGTAGATGTCATAGATCTTGTTGTTCTAAATAATTCTTCGCATGCCTGACTACTAAAGTGCCAAGGAATGAACATATAAGGCCTCAGGCAAAAAGTGCTGTCTCTGAATTTTTTTACCAGAAAGATTAAAGATAATGCGTTAAGTTCAATGCATGAATAGGCATTAGTAGTAATAAAATTATCTTTTAAGCTGTATTCTTTATTTTTTAAAATTGAGTACCTCCATATCCTCAGGAAGTAAACACTACGCCATATTCTATAAATTCGGTCTTCTACAGTTAAAGATTTATCTAAAAACGAGGAAAGTACATTGTTCATGGTTTCCAGAAAACTTATAGTTCCTTGACTTTGTGGTACATGTTTCAAAATTTCTTGTACTATAGGAGCACATATTTTTTCTGCAGATCGAAAGTTCATCTTGTCTTCTGGAACAAGATCGCTCAAAGTTAAAAGGTGTTTGTCTTTTGAAAATGTTTCTAATAATATTTTTAAGTGAGAAACAGATATTGTAAAGTTACCAATTGGTAAAACTATGTTAGGTTTTAATAATCTTGTTCTAAGTTTAGTACCAATGTGAACTGTGTCTTGAATATAGAATTGTGTGCTTTGCTGTTGGTAAGTGTTAATTTGCATAGCTTTTAAAAGTCTAGTATCACCATCCGAAGAATATCCTAAAATTTTGATACCAAAATCTCCAGCCATTTTTTCCATAGTATTCCATCGGTTTATCACATCTTTATGGTTGAATCTGTTATTTGTACCAAAAATACTCAAGCAGAATGTTGGAGCATTTTCATGTAGAGGCTTCGCCATTATTACATACGCATAATTTGCTTTTTCATTATTTTGAAAATATTGTCCAATTGTATTAGCTGAAGTGGCTGAGTATGCATTAACATTTGCCATGCCATTTTCAAAAGGCAACACAAAACCGATAACTTTATCAGAAATTTGGTCATATTGTATCTTCCCCATAACTCTGGTACCATCTTCGCTAACCCAAACACAGAGAGGTAGATTTCTTTCCAACAAAAACTCTTTTAGTTCTTTAAATCTATATTCTCCTTCTACTATATTTTGTTTTTTAGTTGAAATAAATCTATTCAATGAGCTTATTGATGGCAACGAGTTTGTTAAATTCGATTGAAGTGTTTCATATAAAAGTCTTCCCCCAACAAAATATAAAAATACACAAAACTTTTTTAGGGATTCATCATATCGATTTGCATTGGGACTAGGAAAATTTGAATTCCTTAAGGCTGAATTACAAATTGATTTTAGTAATGTACTGGTATCTGTTTTTTTTATAAAAGTTTCAACTGATATTTCTTCCCAAGGCGGCATATTGTTCTTGAGATCTTCCAATGACTCATTAAATATATTATTTTCATTGATGTATTTATTAATTTTATCTACAATTTTAAAATAGTTAGTTATTAGTGGTTGATTTTCTCCATCATTCAATAAACTGTGTACTCGAGCACGCTTTTCTCTTTCTTGTCTACCATATTTGAGGTCTTTCCACTTTGAAGGAACATCAGGTTTTAAAAAGGGAGAAGGAACATTTTGAAGTTCAGAAATACTTTCAGGTAAGATTGATTCAAATTCGATACCTTTTTTGTTTGTGTTCTCTTCAATATTATCCTTATTTCCTATGTCTTTGTTTACTACTGTGAAGTAGTTTACAACAGTATTTTGTTGGTTGAATTTTTTGATAGGTTTTCTCTTATTTGAATTTTGAAAGTGATTTACTAGATGCCTATAGTAATTACTTAACATCCATGTTTTATTCTTACGCCCAGCTAAAACTTTTTTAAAAACTTTTGTACGGGCACCACAAAAGCAAACAATATCACTCATGATGTTATTACTTTCATCAATACTTGCGTTTTCAGCTAGATCGAGTTCATCATATTCTTCATCGCATAATTTTACAGAAATATTTTGGTTATTTATTATATTATAAATAGTTTCTGATTTTAGATTACTATCAGACATATTGTCAGTCTTTTGTGAATCATATTTTTTAGTCCATTCAATAACATTTTTTTCAATAGTTTTTTTCTCTTCTGTTAAATTAGTATTGAAAATTTGAACTTTAACTGCTGATTTTTGTTTTTCAGGTGGTTGTTTATTTTTCCTTTGACCAGGTTTATCCAAAAGTTTATCACTGTTCGGTCTAATTTTAGTATTTTGTGTTTTTACCAACTGATTTTTGTAAAACTCTATAATCAAACTTAATTGTTTCTTATGTCCATCAAGAAATTTGAACTTTGATATTTTGTTTTTAAAAATCCCATAATAAGCCTCATATTCATTCTCATCTATCAATTCAGGTAATGTTGTTCTAGCAAACTCTTCTGTCTTACTAATATCAGTTCCATCTATTTTAGAAATTATATAAGAACTATCAAATCCATTTGCTATTAAACATTTTTTTAAACTTGGTTGAAGTTTAAATCCAAGATTTTCTTCAGCATCTTCAAATGGATCTTTCAAAACCGTACCTGCTTCGTCCATGGCAATATGTTCTATCTGATATTCTATATAGGTACAACAAATTTACTATAAATATATGCATTTAAGCTATCAATCATATTAGTAAATTTGTAACATCTATATTCTAGACAGAGATTGTACCTACATGGGTTTCTAGGTGTCGCTTAAACATCTAGATCTAACTATAAAATATAAGTAGGTACCTAGGTAGTACATTTTACAGCGTTGGAATTAGAGGTATATGAAATAGTTTATACCGGGTTTAATATGTTATCAAATATGTAAATATAAAATTACTAAAATGTAAATAAAGGTATTATAATATTTTTATATTTGAATTGAGATTTAAATAGATACCTGGGTGGCTAAGTATAATACCTATACATCTATTTCTTTATTTTTGTTATAGTAATAGGTAAAGTTGTAAGTTTTCAAAAGTGATAAAGTTTGTTTTTTGTGGCTATATTAAATCACAGATTTCTATATATTAGTAGCATAGAAGTCTGTGTATTAAATATATACTCATATATATTTTATATCAGCAATAAAAAATATATTGACATCCAAAACAAATTGTATGATATTAGTTCTTTAAATAAAAAAGGTGTTTTAAGATATTATAAGGTACTTACCATTCATTACAGAACCACAAGAAAACTTGCCACAAAACAAACTTCATAAGCAATTACGCAGTGAAAATATTACATCATTCAATAAATTGTTCTCGGAACTGTTCAACCATTGATTACATAAACTTGATAAACGCAATTATAGACATATTAATACTATCTATACTTTGTTGTCTGTTCCAACTTCCAAAAGTGAATACAGAATAACCCTAGGAAATCGGAATAACCACTTAAGCGCATACGACTGATGGCTGCGGCAGTGATTTCCCCCACCTTGCTAGCCGACGTTTTCCGAAGACGTTGTACGATCTCTTACAATTAGCAAAATGGGCAGGGCGTTACGCGAGGCAGCCTGCTGCTGCTAAAGTCGTTGGTGGGAGATGCGGAGTGCCGACGAAAATCGGTCGGCAAAAGAGTTTATTCTCTTTTGGAACAGAGTATAATATAACTATTGCCATAACCATCAGTGGCGTATTTACGGGGGGGGGGGGGTCCATGGGGTCCGAATCCCTCCCATTGACTTGTGTCTCGTACATCTTACATTTTTGTGTTTTTACATGATAAAGAAATACAAATTTTATCATACAATACGAAGGATTTTGTAAAAACTTTTCGTCGATTCAATCGTCAAAATTTTCAATTAATATCGTGATTTTTTTTGTCATAAATTTACATTTCCTTGTGATTTTGCACAGTGTTTACATTGCCACAGCAAATCTAAAAAGCCCCGTTTGAACAACTTCCCTGGTGGGGCTAGGAGGGTAAAATTACTGAATCACGGTAAAAAAGTCCGGTATATTATATTTTATGCATAACAATATTTAAAATAATTTATTAAAAAAAAAATGCAATGATTATAATTATGTACTTAGTATCATAACCTATATAAAAAAATCTAAATAATTATTACATACAAATAAAATTAATAAATTTTAAATAAAATAAATTAAAATTAACTATCTTGATTTAAAATATAATATATTTTTAAATAAAAATCAATGATTTTAATAATTATGTACCTTCTTAGTATCATTACCTATTTATAAAAAAAATCGAAATACCTAATATATTAAATTGAGTATAAACTATTGCCATTCAAAATTTAAATATAATATATTTAACAAAAAAAATGCAATAATTATAATATTTAACTAGTATTAAGACTTATCAGTTTAACTAACTAACTGTCGTCAAAAAAAATAATATTAAAAAAAAAAATGAATTTTGTTAGGTAGTATTTAGTTACAATTAAATTTATATTAATACTAATTGGAAGTTTGATTGTTTATCACATGGTGTTTTTTCCTTTTACCTAATTATATGCACCGGACTTTTTCACCGTTGACTTTTTATACCTAGGACTTTTTAACCACGGACTTTTTTCCTAGGCATTTTTTACCTCGGACTTTTTGGTAGTATACCAAATAATACAGTTCAAAACATAGTTGGCTCGATAGTAGGTATACAAAAATATTATAGAAAATATAGGTGGTACTATGAATAAAATATTTATTGTTAATTTTTCGAAAATTATTTATAGTATTATTTTTTTAATTATATTATAATATAGTATAATATTAAATTATAATATACCGTCAAACGGCCGAACTTTGGATAGTTTTGAAATTCTATTGTAAATAACTTTAAGATTAATTAATCTATTTTCAATCTAACATTTTTTTTAGTTAAAGTTTGATTCATCGATTTCTGTTGCATTTAATTGATAATATATAAGTAATCTTGTAGTCTCAGGATTTTTTTTTGCTAGAGTCAGGGATTTATTTTCCGCAATTCATCCATGGTACATATTAAGTTCATGGGTTCTATGAAAGTAAAATTATCCTATACATTTATGATAATCAAAATTTAATAATGATTAACCACATAGGTAATATATATCTATATTATATTTTTATATAGAAATCTGTGTGATTAACAAAGATTATCATATGATTATCATGATTATCACATGATTATCATGATTATCACATGATTATCATGATTATCACATGATTATCATGATTATCATGATTATCACATGATTATCATGATTCATGATTATCAATGATTATCACATGATTATCATATTCACATGATTATCATGATTAACAAAATTTTGTACACTGATTAGCATAGTGGTTTACCCCTCGTAATTAATTTATTGCAAACATTTTTGTGAAAAAAAAAAATTGTAAAGTAATTCTTTGTAAGATAGGAATTTTATGAAATTAGAAATTAAGTTATTTTAATTGTATTCATTGTAGGATAATTAGTCATAAAGCAAATACATCCTCAATTAATTACCAATGTATGTTGATAAGTTTGAGAACCTTTAAAAATACTGTAAAAAGGCCATTCAACTGTAGAGCATAGATGGGTCTATACTTGTAATTAATTAATTGAAAATATGAGTTATAAAGAAAAAAAAATTATGAAAATTATTCTTATTATTAATATATAGCGATAAATAATAAAAGAAAAAAAAACAGAAAAAAAGAAAAAATCGTAAAAAATAATAAGGTGATTCCTATGCTATTAATAATTATGTACCTACCTAAATTTATTTTTTTAGGTTTTCATTTGTATTATTAATTTTTTGACCCATAGTAATTACATTATTACAACTATTATAAATATATTATGCACTACATTTATTTAGGTTATTACTACTAATAAAATGTTATTTTTTGTTATGTTTGAATTATATTATGTAATGCTTATATTATAAAATGTTGATTATCATCTATTGTAACAAGGCTTACCTTTTAGTAATAGGCGAAGCCGTAACAATAATAATAAAAAAAAAAATGTTAAATTTACCTACTGTAAACTCTATTAATAATAATCATTATAAGATGATTTGTATTACATTGTAAAGCATAGTAGGGCCATACTTATAATTCATTTATAGAAAACAACACTGTTGTGTAAAAAAAAAAAAATATGACAATTTTATTAAATAAATAATGCATTAAACAATAAGTAATTAAGAATAAAAAAGAAGAATACAAAAAAAGATAAATTATAAGGTGGTTCCTATGCTATAACTTATAATTAATTTATTGCAAACATTTTTGAAAAATTTAAAACAAAACAGAAAAGAGAAAAATTGTAAAGTGGTTCCCTGTAACATAGGAATCCTATGATATTAGAAATTAAGTTATTTTTGGGGTTATTTTAATTGTATTCAATGTAGGATAATTAGTAATAAAGCAAATACATCTTAAATAAATTACCACTGTTTGTTGATAAGTTTGGGAACCTTTAAAAATACTGTAAAAAGGCCATTCAACTCTAGAGCATAGATGGATCATATTTATAATTAATTTAAAGAAAAAATTACTTAAAAAAAAAAAAAAAAATCATACTTATTATTAATATTTTGCAATAAGTAATACAGAAAAAAATGAAAATAGAAAAAAAACAAGCAATAATAATAAAAGAAAAAAAACAGAAAAAAATAAAAAATAAAAAGGTGATTCCTATGCTATTATTAATTAAGTATTTTGAATTATATACATTGTAGAAATTAGTATTGAAGTAATCGTCCTTGACCAATCACCACACCTTCAAAAAGATCAAAAAGACCATTCAACTTTTTAAATTTTGATTTTGAAAAGAATTTATCATGAACAATCAAAAGAGAAGAAATAAGATTGCACAAATTAATAATTATTTATTAATTTGGGTACATACGACTGTAATCAAAAAACAATTGTACAAAACTGAGTGTTTTGAGCAAGTCTAAACTTAACTGAATAACTTTGATGAATTATAAACCGTATCAATATCTAAGGACAATGATTTCATTAATAGCATCAGTAGATAGACAAGTAGATAGACACACTTAACACACGTAACGGAGTATTTGAGACACTGCGGACGGGACACAGTTTTAGCACGAACTCGGTGGCCCGCTTTGCTCAGCAACGGTGGCAACTCTTATCGGCGTTTGCGCTCACCTGGTACAGCCACTACACTGTGTCTGCACATAACGGTGCCGAGTTTCGAACACTTTGAGAAAATAGTGTTTAAACTTGTCTGATAATCTTATGTACTCTCTGATTACCTTCCACTGCTGGTGCAACTTATACTCACACTTCACCAGAATGATATGGGCCACTGCTTAAAGTACAACATGACAACCTTGTTACAATTTGTTCATAGTTATCCTTAAGCCATTGAACCCACCTGTCAAGATGACCAAACATAAATTGCTTTGAGATATACTTGTAGTGAAATATCTTGAAGCAACATTCCTACCTAAATAAACGGCAGTAACCGCTTGCTGAGGTGGACCGCTCTCCAACCCGTGAACAAAAGCTGTTGAACTAGTAATCAGCAGCCCACTCGGCCTATTATACATAAAAACCATGTCAGTCGGGTGAGCTACACTATTGTTACGGACACTGACTAACAATGGCCTTCCTCCAACCAATTGTATAATTATCTAATTCATCATTATGAATAAACCGGGCGCAACAAGTGTCAAAAACGTGGTCAGAACGTGCCACCGACGAACTGGATTGAAGACGTGAACCAAGAGTACTCAGCTCATTTTGACCGACGTTGACCACAACATTTGGATTACACGTACAATGAATGACACGTCTCAACACATCAGTGCGCTGTCCACCATCATTTATTCCAACACTTGTAGTCTGCTGACCTGAATACTGCAAGTATGCATTTGAAAAGTCTGTCTCATTGCCAGTCCTCAATGCTTCATTAGTCCCATCAAGTAATAACTTTGCTGCCGTTAGCGTGGTTCTAGCAAAACGCCTACCTATATCATTGTTACTTTTTTCATCAAAAAGTATGATCCATTATTATATAATATTACATCAATATTGAACAATGGAAATATATTTTTGCAACAATTATAAGCAATACTGTGCTGTTTGCAAACCTTCAAACACGTTGGTCTTTATGTTATAAGCGGACTTGTATAACTAGAAGTGAAATACAGAGTTTATAAGTCCGAAAACGTTGAAATTATCATGGTGTGTACCAGACGAGTCCTTTGCATCTTGAATATATTTTCAATTAAATGCCACTTACAAAAGAAAACAGTTGAATGTCGTCATAAATATGAAACCAAATATTATCATTGTGAATTTTTATATCATCAGAATATTATTATTTGTTATAATTGTGTATTATATAAATTATAAACTGTAACTGCATTCGCATTTTGTAACTATTTTTTTTTAATATTTAGTCATAACTGGTAGATTAGGTAGGATTTTTAATGTGCAATAAACTTATGTTTAACATAATTTGGACTTCGGTCATACCTAAAAAAAATATTAATTTAGTGCAAATATTATTGTTAATATTAATGTTGGTGTCAATTGTGATTTCTTTGGTTTCGCATATAGTCAGGGCCGGTTTTAAGGGGGGGGGGCACCGGTGGGCAATTTCCCGGGGGCGGCACACTTTGGGGGCGGCAAAATTATCTCAGATAAAATAAACAAAAAATTAATTTTTTTGTAAAGAGAAAGATTTTTAAAAAATGATACATTTTATTACTATTTATTTTTTAAATTCTTAATTCACATATGCATACATTTTTTTTACCTATATTTTATCATTTTAAATAAAGAAAAATAAACGTTATTAACTAAGTAGGTAGGTACCTACTAGGTATCATGGAAGATTCTAGGTAGATAGTACCTAAGACCCAAGTTATAAGTTAGTTACTTACGTTTTTTTGTATAGTTTACCTACTATTAAAAATCTAATATTGGAATGCATAGGTACCTAGTTAAAATTGCTAAAAATTAACTGCAAATTAATTTTCAATGAGAGAGGGAAACATAAAAAAGGTGGACAAGTTGGTGTCGCTTTGCTGTACAGTAGGTTACAAGTGGGTCACTGTATAATGGATGATATTAAATTTGAATTCAACGATATATAATATTGACCTATAATAGGTACCTATAATAAATTCCAAATTAATCATATCACAATATCCATTAGGTACTTATAACGCGTTATACATCAACAAAAACCGTGATACTATCATAGATATATAACTTTAGAAGTTTCAAGTACCCACGAATAATATTATTCAATCACAACAAAATAACTAAAATCGAAATTCTTGGTTTAAATATGAAATTTTGTCTAAATAAATTAAAATGTCTGTAAAAAATAAGTGTGTTCATATATTTTTTAGATTTTTTGGTAACAGAATTAACTACTTACATGGAATCTTTTGTTTTAAATTTTCAATCCTTAGATATAAAAGTTGAACATTTTATACATTTTAACTACAAAATAATTATTCAATTTTAAATTTGAAAATTTTGTCAAAATTCGATCTTTAAATGCTTATAAAAAAAACGGTGCCTATGTATTTTTAATATTTTTCAACTACTCTTGTAACAATATATCAGGAGACTTGTATTAATTTTTTACACTTTTTGGCCCAACAGATAAAACTTTATTGATATTTATAGAAAAAAAACTAAAAAAAATTAAAAGATGTAAATGTCCATAAAGAGCTCAAAACAAGTCAAAATATTTTGAAAATGTTATCAAGTACATATAAGAATTGCTAAAATAAACATTCAGGGAATTTTTATGTATCTACAGTTATTCGTTTTTGAATGACAACAAAATAAGGAAATCGCTACATGAGAAATCGAGTGAATATTCAATGTTGTAAAAATTTGAATTTCAAACGCTCTTAAAAATTTAATTTGACTTTCTGGTAGAGATTTTTTTATTGATAATGGTAGACAAACTTATGAGTAATCTTGTATTACATTTTCAAATCTTAGATTTAAAAAGAAAAATTTTTACGAATTCTTAATTCAAAATAATTTGCTAATTTTCGTGATTTTTCCATATTTTGTCAATTTTTGAACTTTAAATACTTATAAAAAAATTGTGACGAAGGATTTTTAATATTTTTCATCTGCCTTTGAAACAATATATTAGGAGCCTTCTATTAAATTTTCAAGCTTTCGCAACCAACAAATAAAATGTTATTGATATTTGTAGAAAAAAAACTAAAAAAAAATGGAAAATGAAAATGTCCCTAAACAGTTCAAATAAATCAAAATATTTTGAAAATGTTATCGTTTGTGAAAACTACTGGGAAATTTTTACTTTTGACTCCCCAAAGTACCAAATAGATTCACTTTCCTATCAGAAAAGCTACTGATGAAGAAAATCCAAGCACTTTTACTGTCTTAAAACGTGATGACAGACACAAAAAAAATTAAAAAAAAACACACATCATTGTAAAATCAATACATTCATCGTTTCACTCAGAATCTAAAATTAATTAACTTTATGCCCCTCGCCAAAAAAAATAAAAAAAATTTAGCCACCACTTCTATGGTATTAAAAAAAATGTGTTGGAAAGGGGTGCCATAAATATTGTGCCCGGGGGGGAAAAATCCCTATATACGGCCCTGCATACAGTACTTTTGTTTATAAAGGGTTGTTTTGTTTTAAACAACTTGTTGAAGACATTAATTTTAAGCATTTGAAGGGGCCGGTGCAACAACCACATACCTCCATTTTGGAAAAATGTTCAGGATGAAGATATAGCACTTTCCTTAATTTTGCATTGAAGATAGGATTAATCTGTCGGTATATTTAAGTTGAGGACATAACAATAAATAATTATATCAAATATCAAAATCCTAGTTTTAAATTTTGTTACCGAAAATATTTTTCAAAGTTGAACTTAACATGGAGTTATCTGGTTTTTGATCAGAAAAGTGGTAAATTTCAAAACTTAAATATATAATTATTTTTTTTTCATGATAAAACAGTTTATTTTTAAACATATTTTTACAAAGATTTTTTTGATTACATATGAAGATAATAGTTTGTTATAAAAATAACATATGGGTAAGCATGGAAAAAAAAAATTTTGTTTTGGAAATATTATGTTATTTTATTTTTTATTTTATATAAGTTTCATAATAACACCTTATTTAGAGCATAAACATTTTAAAAAACAAATAAAATATATATTAGGTACCTTCCTAAAAGTTAATAATAATAAATAATAATATCCCAAATATTCATCTTGAATAGGCAAATCTTAGTGAATCTTTACTGGAACAAAACAAAAGATTTATCTAATTAAATCCCGTATAACCTTAAAAGTGTATCACTAAATTTTATAGTGATAAGTTGTTATGTCCTATCTATTCTTATATTATTATCTATGGTACCAAGGTCCCTGACATGACATATTATTTTTATATAACGACTTACTATACACAAATTTATAGTGGCCAGTGGCGGATTTAAAGGTCGTTTAGTCGGAAAATGTTGGGACGTCACCCGATGTAGGTAAATTATTTTCTAAAATTCAAAAGAGGTGCAAATTTATAAATCTGGTTTTCAAAAAATGTTGTTTGTAAGAACATTAATTTTTTGAAATATTATTATTATTTTTGTTAAATTAATGCAATCCAGTTGTATAAAAACATTTTAAATTCAAAAAGAATAAATATTTTATGGAAATTTTTGTAGGTAAGTACTTGTTAAAATCGAAATATTTTTTAAAAAAGTTATTTTTTATACAAATGAGAAAATTAATTATAAATAAAAAATCTTAAAATATAAGCCACTTAACTAAAAAAAAAAATGTTTTTACAGCAACATTTTCTAAAAAGCTATATTTACAAATTATACAGCATTAGACAAGAATTACTATAGGTTACCTTAGTATGGATATAATAGAAAATGTAAATCTAATGCACATTATACATGTCTGCGGTTTCGACAAAGTTGCAGTGCTAACAGGGGCGGGTTTTATCACTCACCAAGGGGGGGGGGGCTAATAGAGGTTCAAGAATTTAGTTGGTTGTTTTTTAAATCTATATAAAATTTAAAACTACAGATTATGTTTTTGAGTCCCTCATAAGTAAGTCATTTTTTTTCACAATAGTGACAAATTTTAAATAGTTACATTATTGGTATCAATATTTATCTGAAACTATTTATTTATAAAAAAATATACATAAAATAGATATAGGTATTACATTATCAATTCCCATATTTCTTTTTTTTAACTTTTGAAAACCGTTCAATGATGTTGTCTATTGATACTTCTTTTTCCTTATGAACATGAAGTAAAGCTAAACCATTTAATCTATCTTGACACATTCGTGATCTTAACCAATCCTTTAACCTAGATTTAAAACATTTTAGTAGAAAAATAAGATTATTTGGTTATATTAATTTAATATCATAATTTTAAATGTAGATAGATATACCTGCGCAAAGTAGAAAAACTTCTTTCAGCTGATGCAACGCTGATGGGTAGACTACCAATAATTAAAAGCAATGTTTTAATATTTGGGAATAGTACATCCTGACAATGATCCAAACCATCTATGACAGTAATTGGTATATGACCTCCTTGAAATTAAATATAAATAATTTTAGGATAAAATATAAAAGGTACTAAAAAAATAAATAATAGATTTTATATTTACCTTCATTTTTAACTCTGGTCCATTTGGCAATCCATAATTCAAGTTCAGAAGTTAAATATTGTTTTTCTATGTGTAAATATGAGTATTCTTTATCAACAATTTCTGCAATATAATTTATATCATCCGACTTGATATCAACAACACTTTTTGGTATAAGAAGTAATAATTTATAAACAGTTAAATTTTAAATATCTATCTTTTAGATCATCGAGTACATGATCATACAGTACATTATAAACAGAAATTCTAAAGTATTCTTCAATAGAAACAGATAAAATATTTGGTCTATGTATTTGATGCTTAGTAATGCGTTGGTAACTTAAGTTCCACATCTAATTTTTCCATCAGTTTTTTACTTTCTTCAAATATTGTTTTGAAATGTATATCACTGTTTGACCGCCTATTTACCATAACGTTTATAATATCCTTAAAGCAATCTTCAGCAAAATTTAAATCATTTTGAATACCTTGAAGTAGTTTACTTGCAGGTGCTGTTTAGTAAAGTAAATCTGATAGTGTAAACAATGATATTATAAATTCACATGTAGTTAATGAATTTAAAAGAGAGTAAGCTTTCACTGACGAATCATTATCTTGCCACTCGGTTATAAGGTTCAGAGATTTAATAATATATTGTAGAGAATTCTTAAATATTAAAATGCTATTCATGGTCTTTCAGTCCATCTGGTTTCACATAGACTCATTAAATGTTTTTCTTTACCAAATACTTTTTTTTAGAACAAAATTTCTTTTTGCTGACATATTAAAAAATTTTACAGTTTCTGTAATAATACCAACAGAGTTTTTAATTGACATTACACTAGATGATTTAGAAATTGATAAATTTAAACAATGATTAGAACATGGGCTATAGACCGCGTTTGGAGTTGCGTTAGATTGAATATATTTAACAGCGCCACGAACAGTGGAAGTCATTACCGAGCAACCATCAGTAGAAATTCCAACAGTGTTCTAAGTTTAAATTTAAATTTTTTAGAATATTAATAACTGTTTTTCCAAGAACATCACCAGTGAGTTTAGGTTCAATAAGAGTGTTTTCATCATTTTCTGTAGATTCTTCATTGTCATTGATCTGTTCCTCTTGGTTTGATTTTTGGTTATTATAAAAGTATATGTGGCAGTTTATGAATGAAACAAAGTCTTCTTTTATTTTTTCACCAAAAATATATCTTAAAACTAGTGTCATTTGAGATGAATGTGACACATCTGTGGTTTCATCAAATATGATTCTATAAAACTTATTAGATTTAATATCTGTTAATATTTTATAAATAATTTCTTCTTTACAGCATTCTATTATTTCTTCTTGAATTGTATTACTTAAATAAGTAGCTTTAGCATGAGTTGTCTTGAGATGATTTTCTAATACCTTATCGCCAGATTTTATTTGAAATCTTAAAAGTTCTCTAAAGTTTCCTCTATTACTAACAGATGTGTTTGAACTAGCCATAAGTCATAAATCACCATCATCTCTATGTCCTCTTAGGGGAATGTTTTGTCTTGCCAAAAAAATAATAGTTTCAATAATTGGTCGAATTCTTTCTCTATTTTCAAGTATTTGGCGTTTTCTCTCACTATCAATCATATTAATAATGTAAAGACCACTGTTTAGATTGAAATCATCGAACACAACACGTTTTAAACGTTTGTTTAAAAACTTTATTTTAACATTGACTCTTTGAGTAACAAAACATTAACAATCAACAGATTACTAAAATTACAACAGTTTTAAATTACACGGACGTACTGCGTCTTTTTTGAGATTGTGCATAGTAAGTAGTTTTGTGTTATTAATTGGACATGTTGTGTCAATTGTAGTTTAAATAAAATAATTTGTTTTTGTGTCATATCTGTTGATCTGTTGGAGCTGTTAACGACACTACACACGAATGACGATTGACGAAGTCCCGACTGTATTTTAAAACGTACATATGGCGTGCAATATTACTAGGTACTTATCATATTTTTATAATATTCCATTGTAAATACTTATCACATAATATTCGTTCGTGTATCGTTTTATCGTACCGTCGTTAGTTTTTTCCGTGTTACCTACTTAAAATTATCTATACTGAACGACCGCCGCGGTTTCTTGTCAAAATAATATGATAAGTTTTAAGTAATAGCACTGTAACAGATGGGTACCTATTAGCTATAGAGGACGTAAAGTGACTATATCAAAAAAAGTCACTATAATATCGACCATGCAATTAACGTTATCGTTTGCGAAGAAATAAAATTAAACGGTCGGACCTACACTATCGGTTCCGTTGAATTTCCCTGGTTTCAATGTAAAATTATTGATGTTTGTCTTTATGCCACAGTGAGAAATATTTGAAGGTGGTTCCACACGAGCCGTATTCACCAAATTCGGTGGATATTCGATAGTCGGAGCAGGTGTTCATCGAATCCGAAACGCACAAAATAATTAAGTCCCAGAAAAATATTATAGGTATTTCAATATTGTATAAAAAATATCACAGAATGTAAATATTATACTATTATGTTTAAATAAAAAAAAAAAAGTATTTCTATGCTATTAAACTTGTGATTAATAATTTTTTCCGTATATATATATATAGGTACCTACCACAATACCATTTTCAATAAACTACATAGTATGTGGATCGATGGTTATTGACTATAGTAATAAATTGTATAATTGTTATGCGAGCACGACTGTTCAACAGAGTACAGACCCAGTGGCGTCATTTGAGGTGTGGCAACTGTGCGGCATTTGCCCTAGTCTAATAAAAACTAAAATGACGCCACTGTACAGACCGTCAGATCGACTGTCTAATAAATGTGTGTCATGTGCAGAGCATTTTACTGAATAATGGTTTACACTCGTCATGTAAAATTATGACACTTTACGACTATGCCACTATATGGTATATATCATAAGCGGAAATCCGGTGAAATTACAGCTTAAGCATGAGTTGTCTTGAGATGATTTTCTAATACCTTATCGCCAGATTTTATTCGAAATCTTAAAAGTTCTCTAAAGTTTCCTTCATTAATAACAGATGTGTTTGAACTAGCCATAGTCAATAAATCACCATCATCTCTATGTCCTCTTAGGGGAATGTTTTGTCTTGCCAAAAAAATATTTTTAAAATAATAAAAATAATTGATGAATATGCTAACCAAGGAAATTTTGTAAAGTGAGATTGATTTAAGAATCGTTTGCCTTCTTTGCCTTTTTTAACATGTGTTGAAAACGGTAAATAAAATCAGATTCAGGCAAATAATTTTTTTTAACTAAACGATATTTTGTATTTTGATTTATTGACATTGAGTTTGTATAATATCCAATATCGTCAATAAAAATTGAAGGTTCTAAAATATTATTTTCTATAGTGCAATCAGTATTCTGTTCATTTTCAGATAGTTGAGAAGTAGATGGAATCGGAATATTTATGTTTTCTATTTTAGTAATTGGTTCTGTCGGTTCTGATAAAATATGTTTTTTGTTAAAAAATTTAGAAATATTTACTTGTTTTCTTTTTGCAGTTGTAGTTTGATCTCCATCAGAATTGCTCATTGTGATAGCGATGTTTTTTCGATTATCGGAAAAACTCAAACTCGTCGTTACCGATCGAAAATCGGACTAAAACTAAACGAACTTCTTAAATTCAATCGATCTAATAATACTCCGACCGTTGATGTTTACGCGTCGAGCGTCGATTCAAAAAAGTAATCGTTATCTGCACTTCTGCAGACTGTCGTTTGAAAATTCCGGCTATTTTTCTACCATTTGCTCGATTCTCGTAATAAAGGAAGATAACCAATTCTTTATAAGTAATACATATATATTATATATATATCATTATTACTAAGTAATATTATTAAACTGGGCTCCACGTGGAGCCATATATATTTTCATAATAATATAACACATCATGTCAGACGTCAGTCGTCGAACGAAAAACAAATTATTATTATATAAATAATCAATATATCATAATATTTGGTTTCGCAAAATAGTTAGCTTAGTCCCAAGGGGGGGGGCTACTGCCCCCTTAGCCACCCCCTTAAACCCGCCCCTGAGTGCTAAAGACTAGCGGATCTTAGTTTTCCCGACGGTGGTTTTCAAGAAGAAAAATGCGTTACGTATCGATAAGGAACAGTTACGTACCGCCTCGTATCGAAGTCCGATACGTCGCTTGTATATTTCACGTGTAACTTCTTGAAGGCTCAAAATTGATCCGATACGTATCGATACATAAAATACATACAATTTGCAAGAGAGAAATGTGGTTTTATTCGTATTAACTTTGTTTCTGTTGTGCCATATTGTATTAAAGATGACCAAAAATATGTCCCGCTCTTCTGCTTTGAAGGCGAAACAGAAAACCTAAGACAGCGGGCTGTAAAATAAGAAAATTGAAACTTGGAATATCTCAAGTTCTGTTTTAAAGTGCAGGGTATCAGAAATGAGTTGTTTGCCAGTGCCCCTTGCACAGCGACCAGTCTTATTTATGCTTATAGTAATACCGTATCATACTCCAACGTTGTATCAGCCAATGTATAACAACTATGTACAATCCAATGACAAATGGCAATATAATGTCACATTCAAGTCAAATCAGACAATTCTACACTCAACGTTCTAACAATAGTCAAGCCCAACAACAAAAGTTGCAGCAACAACATCAGATACCACAGCAACAACAAATAATTACCACTCCTTAAACTCAGCAGTCATATAGTGGCAATATGTATTATCGATATAAGGAACAGTTACGTACCGCTTCGTATCGAAGTCCGAGTCCGATACGAGTCGGTACGTATGGCTTGTATATTTCACGTTTAACTTCTTGAACGCTCAAAATTGATCCGATACGTATCGATACGTATTATTTTCTTTCTTGAAAATCAGTCACGCCGGAAGGTATATTGATTGGTTGGTAGTTTTTATCTTTACAAATATCTTAATTTTTATCTTTTTATAAAATTTTAATATAAATTATAATGATTATGACATGATAAAGATTTAATAGATAATCTGAAAACAATTAAATCAGTAGTAAGTAACATTTTATGTAATACCTATATATACTTCACATCATTTAACCATTGGACATTAACCACTGGTATTTTAAACTATTTGGTAGTAAATATTATACAATTTTAATAACTATTATCTAAATTAAAACTGTGTGTAAAATACTTTTCATAGGTAATTAACCTGTCTCATACTCCATCATCATCATATATCCATGCTCTTAATATTTTAAAGATTTTGGATTCCCAGTACATTTAAATGATTATCGAAAACAGTTGTTCAATACAAAATTATTATGCAACTGACAATTTATATTTAAACTAGCTATCCCGCCCGACATACAGTAGTAAAAATACGAATAAGTAATTTTTTTAGTTTTTACTACCTAACGTCCCAACATTATACTTTAGTTGTCACGGTGTTGTACCGTAACAAGGTACCACACTACCACCACAGTTAACCGAAATATTCACATTTCACATTCAAATTTCAATGTTCGGTATGTTATAACAAGAAAATATATATATACAATTTCTTGATTTTAATTTAAAAATATTTATTTAAAAACGCATATTTTGGGGTAGGTATTTTCATATTCAACGTAGAAATTTCTATTTTTTATCGTCGAAAATTTATAATTCTTTGATAATTTTTAAGCTAGTAATCCTTACTTCATATTCAGGATTTAAAAAACATAATTTTATTCCATAAACTCAATGTAACTATTAAAATTTTGAAATTCAGTTAATGATGGTCTGAAAACCATTATTTCATGTTTATTAGAGCACATTGTATCTAAAACAATAAATAAATCAATATGTTTTAAGTAGGTACCTATAATTAAATTTGAATCTATCAATTCTTTTTCTACAAAAAATTTTAATAATGGCAATAAAATATATTGTTGTGTTTTAATTATCTGAAGGGAAATAGCAACGAAACATATTTAATAATAGAATCAACATCTCGTTCTTTTAAAAGCTTTAAAAATCATTTCTTAATTATTATTTATGAAATTTTACCATGAAATATACGCTTCTGCACTCAATAATGTAAACTTTAAAATGTTTCCTGCTTATAATATAATTAGAAATAATAAACAATTTTTTGAATCAATCTTCAATTTTAATCCTATATAAGCTTTTGTGGCTCGGGCAATATGATGATAATATGCATTTGAATACTTTTTGAATGATTCGTCATATTTACATGTTTCTATATATTATGCTATAATAGATTCAATTTTCGAATATGATTCTTTATACCTTTTTGTCATGTAATGATGATAAATGTCAATTAGTTGTAAATAAAATCTAAAAAGTACAATAGTTTTATTCCACATATTTTTTCTACATTTATTATTCACTTTTATTTTGTATCTATAATAATATAAGTATAAAGTGCATACAATATTAGATTTAAAAATATTGCACTTGTATATAAAATTAATATAGGACATGATAGCCTGAAGTCTTTATAGACATCTATAGCCTAAATATTCTGTGAAAATTACATGTATCTACGGTAATGTTTGTAAGAATTACACCACAAACCTAAATCTGTTTTGTTGAACACCGATATTGCATAAAATTTCTTGTGTTTCCTTAATTGTTTGTTTTGTTTTTCCCTGTATTTTAAGAAACTACTGGGAATTTTGACCTCCTGAATGCATTAACTAGATTCACTTTCCCATCGGAAAAGATACTGAAATTGAAAATAGATCGGTAAATCTCAAATACTTATCTAATGACAAAAAAATGTGAACTTATAAGTTCATAAAAATGTAATTTGATTTTCTGTTACCTATAATTTTTCTTTTTACTTTTAGATAAAAAACAAATGAGGAATCTTTTATTAAATTTGAAATTTAAGATGTCTATAAATAGCACAAAAAGAGTCAAAATATTTACCATTTATACAAAGACCTAATATAGATAATATTTTGTTTGATTTAAACAATAAAACAAAATCATTTCCTTTTTTTTCTTAATTTTAGAGCGGAGTGATGAGTGTATTCGTTTTACAATGATGTGTGTTTTTTTTGTGCCTGTATACACAATGAGTAGTGTTTCTAATTTGTAGTATGTATTATAAATCACATTAAAAAATTCAGTGGAATTGATAACGATGACATATGGCTGTAACTTTAGCCCAAATTGAAAAGCTTTGTCAACTTTAACTATATGTGCTATTTTTACTTCACCAACATCCTAAAAAAATACATTAAATATGCATTTATGTACTATTTTAAGTGAAATCATGTTTAGTAGTACTTACAGATATAAATGTGATAAATGCTGTAGCTTGCTCTGCTTTAGAAGGTCTCCAAACTGAGGTTATCCCATCAATTTTACGTTTTCTATTAAGCTTTATAGTTAGTGGTTGAAACAATAATGGCAGTAATTTAAAAACTGCTATGTATTCATTACCTTAAAAAATACAGTTAATTAATGTTAATAAAGTTACAATGAATAGTATTTAATATTTAAAATTAATGATTTTTTATTGTTAAATGCTATAAAACATTTTAATTAATTAAATATTTACCAGGCTTCGATGGAGTTTGCAGTTCTTTAACTATACTAGTTCCTTGGACTCCAAGTTGAAAATTAGCACTTTTAATATATTGAATAAGCTTTACTACAAAAACATCTATTTTATTCAATAGTTTGAAGTCACCAAAATATTTTGACTTGTCTTAGCTGTTTGTGCTGTCACTACTAACAGAAGTTATTACTAATTACCACAACTACAAAATATAAAAATTTTATTTTTGTATAATAAAAATAATACATTTTTTTTAAAAAGCATATTACAATTAACACATTAATTCTATAAATGTACACATTAAAGTATTAATAAGTTAGATCTGTACTATAATAAAGATTCAGCAGCCTGACACATAACTGATTGTACAATGGAGAGATATATTACTCGTAGTTTTTGTATGTAAAATAAATCCCTAATGTTTCTAAGTATATAAAAATGTTTTTTTATAATTAATTGTATCACATTATTGATATGTATTTTCCATTTTAATTGACTGGCCATGTGGAAAGTAGATAATATAACAGCCCTTGGCTTCCCTTGATTTGCCCAACGCACAATGGATTATGATAAGGAAATAATAGACCTCACCTTGAGTGACGACGAAGTGGATGAACCAACACCTTCGTCCAGTATGACAAAAGAGCAGTTGGAAATGCGAATCGAAGCCTTAAAATACTTGTTATTGTCGAAAGTAAATTTTACTAAATTATATTATGCCTGCACTCCCTTTTCCCCATCAAATGACCAGTATAACTTTAAATAGAATTCAAATATCTGATAGAGAGTGTAATCTAATTTTAAAACTTGCTCCAAATTTAAAGGATTTATGTATTCTTAATTGTAGAATAGTCGACTTAGATGGTACAGGTCCAATCCTAGGAGGTTCCTGGACTCCCTTAAGGTCTTATCCCGACAACAGTAATATTGATTGTTCATTTAACAAGTACAATTCAAATGACATTTTTTCAGAGTATAATATTGTACAC